ATATCATTAAACCCAAGTATATTAATTTTCTTTTCATTTGACCATAAAACTTTTTTCCAATATGCTTCGGAATTCCATAAGTATTCTTTAAAATATTAAAATCTAGAAATAAGATTTACTACTAAGAAGAAGTTTATTTAAAAATTTACAAACACTTAAATTACCTGTTTTAAGATAGTTTCTTACAGTTCTAATATAATAATTTATATTAAATTCAATGTATATTTCTTCAGCAATCTTTTTTGATAAAAATTTTAGAAAAATTTCAACTTTTTTCTTCATTAATTTTATATGAAAATCGTTAAAATCTTTTGGTCTTCCAAATCCTTTTTTACAATTGATATTGATAATATTTAGATAGTATTATAATACCTTGTTAAAGTTTAATTTATTTATTGAAAACTGTCCTATAATATCTTATTTTCTCACGTTGGTTTTAAAATATCTAACTATTTAATTCTTTTCAGCCTTTATAAAATGTTAAAAAATATAATAAAAGAATATTAGATAGTTTTTTTAATATTTTTTGAGGTAAAATTAAAAAATTTTTTAAGGTTAATTTTTTTTCATTTTTAAATTTTCTATTTCAGTTATCAATTTTATCAATTTTTAAATAAGAAGTATGTAAGATAGATATAATTAAATATTGTTAGTTAAAAAATATGTATTTTTATTGGTTTTATTTATTTTTTAATAGCTCAATTTTATATTCCACCACTGTACTATATTCCAACTTATAAATTGTATTTTTAATAATATATGTTTCTACGACTGCTATGCTTCTTTTCAGAAATAATAAAAATCTTTTGAGCTGTATTTAAATATTTTTATTAAAAAATATTATATACCTTGTTTGAATAAAGCTTCAATATCTTTATTACAAAAATTAGTAAAAAATCAAATATTTTTGTTATATCACAATATACAATAATGTTTAAATATTAAATAAACATTTTAAAAATGAAAAATGTTAACCATTAAGAAATACTATAAAAGTTCTATTTAACATAAAAAACAATACAGATATAGAATTGAATAAAAAGTTAATAAAAAATACTTTTAATAGACTCAAAAAAAAATTTAATTAACAAAAAACAAGGTATTAAGATTTTAAATTAAGTGTTTTTTCTTTATTATATAAACCGCTAAATATATTTAATGAAAACTTTAAACATAATTTTAAATCATTTACTTTTTAATTAAATATCGAGCCTCAATTGTTTTTTACTTGAATTCATTCTTCTTTAAATTACTTAAATTAGTTTTTCTTGATGAAACTAATATTTGTGCTGCTTTAATGAAGCTTAAAACTTAGAGTTTTGATGCCAGTTTAATATTCTTATTTTTTTATCTAACTAATCTAAAATGAGTCTTTAAGTTATTTTTAGGTAATTGTCTTGTATGAAATAAAATCAAAGAAACCTGTTTAAGATACTATATTTCTAAGATTTTGTGTAAAAATTCGCCTATAAAAAGCAGCATTTTTGATATTTAAAATAAAAACAATTCTTCCAATTACTCTCTATAATATAAAGCTAAAATTATTACACTTTTCCCCCATACTTTAAATAAAAAATAAAATTATCGAATTTTTAACGATTTTAAAATTTTACATATTTTATGCTATAACAGTAAAAAAGACAAAAGTTTCATTCATCAGCAATAATAATTGTCTTCTATGTCTTATTTGATATACCATCAAAATTTTCTATAAAGAATTCTCTTTTTTATTCTCAAATTTTATAGATGATTTATTTACTGATTTTGTTATTACAGGTCTAAAGTTAGTTAATAGTTTTTAAACATTTATTAAATAAATCAATAAATTTTTGCACAATCTTTAAACAAGATTTTTAAAATTTTTATCATAAATTAGAAAAACTCTCGTTTTAAATTATTATTCAATATTTTTTTGATTAGAACCAGATTAACAATTTATAAAAAGTTATTCTTAAAATAATGTTGGTTTTATTAATCAAAAAAATCTGAAAACCTTTTTTATTGTAAATTGCTTTTGTTACGTTCCAAATTTTAAACCATCTTCAATTTAAAATTCAATATTATTACATTTTTTACAAAGAGAATATTGTTATAAATTACAAAAAGAAAAAATTTGAGCAAAAATATTATTGTTTACGTTTCTTAGTCAATTTTAAAAATATTTTCCTTAAGTTTTCTTATAAATAATTTTAAAATCTTTTTATTTTGATTCTACAACATTTTTTTATTAAAATTAAATGAAATATCTTGAGTTTTTTTCAAAAACATAAATTTTTTATTTTTTGCCTTTTAGTTTTTATTTACTAATGTTTTATTTACTATTAAATGATAATATTTTTTGTTTTTATATATTTTCATTTAAAATATACTTAAGTTTAATTAAAAACTTGGTTTAATAAACTTTAAGTTTTATTTAAACACGAATTAATTAAATAAATATTAAGATCAATAAAACAATAAAAAGTTAAAAACAATAGTTATTTTTGATTAAAACTTACTGAATTATTTTTAAATAAACTTCGTGATATATTTTATACAGATAAAGTCGATATATAACATATTTAAATATATATTATTTACATATTATAAAATGCATTCAACCATGAAAAAAGTGAATTTGTACTTTACTAAAAATTTGTTAGAATCTTAAAAAATTTTATAATAAATTCTAATATTTTTATGAAAAATGTCTCAAAATATAATATTATGTAAATATATTTAAAAAATTTAATTTTTTAAATACTAATATAAA